TCTGACATGTGGATTTCTTTTGTAGTTTCTGATTCTTGTGTGAGACTCGAGCCTTCAAGCTTAGGTCTGCTTCTTTTTGTAAACTTTATGTGTCTTTGTGGTTTACTTTTTGGGCATGAAAAGCTGGTTCGTCTAAGCTTCCGGTTCTCTCCTTTGATTTTATATTGGAGTGTCCAGATTGCTTTTATCTTCAGGAGTTCCCACAGAAGCCCAAGTCATATGAGGATCCGGTGCTCTCAGGCTTTCTCCTAAGGTCTGGATCCCTCTAGGAAAGATTTTGGCCTCATGAATTTGGGGGTTGGACTGGCCTGGGAGCCAGGCCCAGGAAAGATGGTGGTCTAGGGCAGCTGGTGGCCTTGACACCCAGAGATGCAAAGGCAGATGGGGGCAGGAAGCAGCCCCAAGGACTCCTGGGGACTGCACTGAGGAGCTGGGTTGGTCTGGATGCAGGAAGTGGAAAGGTCAGCCCCTGCGCCCAGAAAGAGGCTGGTGGGTGGTGCAGGCCCAGGGAAGGTGAGGGCGGGGCCAGGCCCAGAAGCAGTCCTCCTGGGGACCAGAGAAGGCACTGAGTTGTCTGGATGAAAAGGATCAGGAAGCAGTCGTGGTTTCCCCAGTGTCTGGGGCCCCAAGACAAGGAATGGGACAGGACCCAAGAAGGAAGAGAGACCGGCAGGGAAGATGGGCGCATGAGTGAGGCTGGGGGAGTCAAGGTGTGGAGGGCCAAATCCACTTACCCCAGAGAGAGAAGCCTGCGGGTTGGAGAGAGGCCTGTGGGTTCCACAGAGAAGCAGAGGGAGATGCCCCTTTTTCTTTTTTAAAAAAAATATTTATTTTTAAATTCATTTTAAATTATTATTTTATTTTATGTGTATGAGTATTTTGCCTACATATATGTAAGTGTACCACTTGCATACAATGCCCACAGAAGCCAGAAGAGGGCTTTGAACCCCTGGAACTGGAATAATGGGCTGTTAGCCACCATATGGTTGCTAGGAACTGAAGCCTGATACTCTGCAAGAGCAGCCAGTGCTCATAACCACTGAGCCATCTCCCTGGCCCTCTTTTTCTTTATTAGTAATTATTTGCTGAAGGACAAAAATGCCCCTAGTAGATAAATGTCAGGGGAATGGGAAGTTTGTTAAACTGAATTGTATAAGACTATATTCCTATAACTAGGAAGTAACATATTTAGAAGTATTCAGTCAGAAAATATTGTGTTCTGTACCCTGGAAGGAGAGACAGTTTGTATTCTTGAATATAGTATCATTATTTTCTTTTATTCTTAGAAGTAATTATTCCCAAAGAACTTTTGTACATGTGTTATATTTATCAATATTTAGGTATTATTTTGTCCTTTTTTTTTTGGATCTGAGGACTGAACCCAGGGCCTTGCACTTGCTAGGCAAGTGCTCTACCACTGAGCTAAATCCTGAACCCCCTAAATATTTATATATTATTAAAAATTAAAACTGGAGGCTGTGGAGATGGCTTAGCAGTTAAGAGCACTGACTGCTCTTGCAGAAGACCCAGTTTCAAGTTCCAGCACCAATATGGCAGCTAAAAACTGTCTATAAATCTAGTTGTGGGGGATCTGATGCCCTCTTCTGACCTCCATGGTCATTGTAGGACACAAGTACACATTCAAGCAATCCACTCATACACATAAAATAAAATAATAAAATATTAAGAATAAAGGACTGGAGAGATGGCTCTGTGGTTAAGAGCATTGGCTGCTGTTGCAGAAGACCCAGGTTCAATTCTCAGCATCCACATGGCTGCTGACAACCGTCCGTAACTCCAGCTCCCGAGGATCCAACACCCTCTTCTGACCTCCATGGACATTGCAGGACACTGGTGCACTTATACACATGCAGGCAATACATTCATACACATAAAATAAAAATAATTTTTTAAATAATAATAAATAATTTGTTTTTTAATTAAAACTCTGGGCTGGGTATGGTGGCACATGCCTTTAATCCTAGCACTCGGGAGGCAGAGGCAGGCGGATCTCTGTGAGGTCGAGGCCTGCCTGGTCTACATAGTGAGTTCTAGGCCAGCTGGAGCTATAGAAGACCCTGTCTCCAAAAAAGACAGAAAAAAAATTTTTTTTTAAACTGCTGGGTTTGGTGGGGCATCCCACCATACTTTGAATACTAAAACAGGAGGATCACTAAATTCAAGGCCAGCCTAGGCTACAATATGAGAATGCCATCGCAAAATAAGATAATTTAAAAATTAAAACTTGACTAATGTTAAAATATGTAATTAAAAATAATGAAACTAGGCTTCATGGCCCAGGCCTGTAATCCTGCACCTAGGAGATAGAGGCAGAAGGATCAGGAGTTCAAGGCTAGCCTCTGTTACATAGCAAGCCTAGCCTATAGTAGATCTTGTCTCAAAAAAAAAAAAAAAAAAAAAAAAAATCATTGGATGCTGTAGCTAAAATTCTTTCTGGGAGGCACAAATGACTTCCAGCCCCCTCCTCCCTTGGTCCCTACAATACATTGAAGTACAATTTCACCAAACTGCAGTCTGGGGAACCAGTGAGTTTATTGGGCTTACTTATAGAGCAGCGGGTAAGGGTTTACTTACAGGAGTGTGGGTGCTCCCCACCTAAGGCTACACTGCAGAGTCTCCATCCAAGCACGAATGGTGACTTCCCTGCAGCTGTACACAATGATAAAGAGACATTCCCTACTGCTTCCTCCACTTACAGATCCGTCATCCCTCCCCTTTATGCAACTAGGGCCTACTGGGTTGTTGGGAGGCATGGCTGACTCTCCCTGCTCCTTTCTTGTGGAGGGCCAACAGTCAACAAGTTTATCATGCTCCTAGGCAAGCAGGTACAACCAAGCTTGGGAAGAAGGCATCTGTCCATCATTTTCAGGTTGAAAGACAGTCCTATGCAACAGATGCTCTTGCAGAGAAATCAGGTTCGGTTCCCAGCGTCCACATGGTGGATCACAACCATCCATAGCTCCAGTTCCAGGGAATCTGATTCCCTCTTCTGACTTCTGTGTGCATTGCACGAAATGGGTGCACTTACATAGATTCAGGCAAAATAACTCATACACATAAAAATACATCAAAAAAGTGTAAAAGGTCAGCCTAGGCTACAGAACGTGTCCAAGGCCAGGCTGAGCAACATAATGAGATCTTGCCTTAAACTAAAACTTTTAAAGGGGTTGTGCTGGGGGATGGGGCTAGAGAGATGGCTCGACAGTTAAGAGAGATTGGTACTCTTTAGGAATACCAAAGTTTGGTTCCCAGCACCCATATCAAGTGAGCTCAGAACCACGTATAAGCTCCAACTCCAGGGCATGCAAATCTCTCTTCTGACCTCCATAGGCACCTGTATGTCCATGTATACACCACACACACACACATACACACACACACACACTAATTAATTAATTAATTTTTTAATTAATGAAATCTAAAAGGGACTGAGAAACCTGAGGCATGGTGGTACATACCTATAATCCTAGCACTTGGAAGGGAAAGGAAGAAGGATTTGAAATTAAGGTCATGAGGCTTTGCCTCAAAGAGAGAAGAGGGATGGGATTAGCTCAGTAGTAGATCATTTGCCTAGCATGCATGAGGTCCTAGGTTCAACCCCTAGCACTACACAAGATTTAAGACACGATCATATATTTGGCTCATATAATGGTAAAATGGAAACAACACTAATTCTTTTGACAAAGTCCTAGATTTAGGTCCAATTTTTCCCTTAAATTTATTTGTGTGTGTATCCACGTGGGCATGGCATGTGTGCAGAGAGTTGGCTCTCTTCTTCTATCATGTGAATCCTGAGGATTGAATTCAAGTTGTTAGGTTTGGTGGCAAGCTCCTTTACCTGCTGAGCCATCCCACTAGCCCCTAGATCCCATCTTTATTCATAGGCTGTATAATTTTGGTTGGTTAACTTAGGAGGCATCTATTTCAGCATCTGGCAAGTGAATGTGATGATAATAACATGTCTACCTCACATGATTGTTTAGGAATGAAAGGAGATAATGTGCATGTGAATACTTGGTAAACTAGAATCATACAAATGTCAGTTAATATGAAGTAACCTTTCCATGTCTCTTTTATTCACTGCTTACACATTTCTAAGAATTACTATTTTCCTCTCTCCCTCCATTAGAATGAAGTCCAAACTGCCAAAGAGTTTATTAAAATCATAGAGAGTGCAGAAAATGAGTATCAGGTAAGAAGATTTGAAGTTTTTCTAGATCCAGTACTTTTTTTTTTTTGGTCTTTTTGAAGCAGGGTCTCCCTGTAGCCCTAGCTGGCATGGAACTCTCACTATGTAAACCAGGCTGGCCTTGAACTCGCAGAGATCTCCCTACCTCCTGAGAGCTGGGATTAAAAGCCAAGCCGCCACACCCAGCTAGATGCAGCACTTTATAATTTTACTGTAAAACATATTTTGTTTGATCTTTTTTGTCCTTTAACATAAAAACATAAGGTTTTTAGTGTTACTAAGTGTGGAGACTTTACAGACCCTGCAATTTGGCATTTGTTTTCAGTTATGGGACTGTTGCTATAGTCTTAGTAATACAGTTTGGCTTAATTTACTTCAGAGTTTGGAGAGGAGCTCAGCATAAATAGTTTGTCCTTTGTCCTCAAGCCCTTTGACTGTCAGGTCACCTTCCTATTTACAAACAACTCCATTTCTGTTTCAAGCAATTCATCTTGAATTATCTATTGCAGACAGCAATTAGTGAAAACTATCAAACGATGTCAGACACCACGTTCAAGGCCTTGCGCCGGCAGCTTCCAGTTACTCGCACCAAAATTGACTGGAACAAGATTCTCAGCTACAAGATTGGCAAGGAAATGCAGAATGCTTAAAGGCTGACTGTAGGAGTCTCCAGTATGTGGAAAGAAAAGGATTCAACATGATGTGGTCATATGATAAATAAGTGATTTATAAACATAAACAAGAGTGATATTTTGCTAGTTAACAAAGTTAACAGATTTTCTAGCCTCATGGAATACTGTTGAACCTATAGCATTGTCTTGATTTTTTGTGTGTGTTCTCTGCCTTGTAATTTTCTGTTATCACTCTATCCACTTGTGAATCTTTTTTTTAAATTCTGCTACATTTAATGTTGAAGAGATCTATCCTAAAGTCATTTTACTGTTAAGAAATTTTCCTAGCAATGAAATCCTGTTACTGGTTTATACAGATAATCTGTTCGGTCTTTTTTTGGTTTTTACCATTACGCTTTAAAGCACTTCCGGTACTTCAGTGGTTTTTATTGATCCACCAACTGGTAAACATGCTATGCTACACACCGCAACTCAGTGGAAGACGCCGTCCTCCTTCCGCCAACTGCTTTGATCATTTATAGCATCTCATAACTGTACTTTTCAAACATTTGGATTGGGGCTCTTCAGGTTCATTTGGGGAGTTAAAGGAAGTTTCCTGGAAATTCTACAACAGCCAGCTTCTCTGGGGGAACGTGTTTTTAATCCAAAGACTTGAGCCACATTCCCTGCACATGAACGTTGCTTATTCTCTCGCTGTCTCCATCTAGTCCTGTTGTAGTTACAGACATCTGTGTTTTAGAAGAGTTTTGCCCCATTTATGTTTCTACTTAATATTCAAGGACTCCTGACATACTGTGGATATAGTAGAATCTAAAACTTGAATAATGCAGATGTTGAAGGAATAATAGATATTTGTGCTTTAGTACGCACTGGCAGGATTGTTCTGTGAGCGGATAAATCAACTATGTAAACTCACAGAACTGAAAGTGAACCAAAGTGCAACTTCCAGGCAGCATCTTTCTATTGTAACCTGTTATTTAAGAGAATACTAGTGTTTCCTTCTAAGCAGGATGGACAACTCATTCCAAATTACTCTTCCTCCATCAGTCCTGCCTGCCAAGAATTCCTTGTAACTGTGATATAGCAAGCCTTCCCAGGTATAATGGCAGGTAGGTGTGTGATCTCAGAAAGCGCAAGTAATGTAAATATGATCTATGACAATGGTGTTGGTGGATTCATTTACATTGTTTACACTTCTATGACCAGGCCTTAGGGGAAGGTCAGTTTTTTAAAAATCCAAGTAGTGTCTTCCTGTCTCCAGACACACGTCAAAACAGAAGGGTGTTTTGCTTCAGCTTTGTTTTTGCTCAGTAATCCAGTCAAGCAAGAGTTTGTTTGGAAGTGAAAGCTGTATAAGCATTTTTGTTTATTTCAAATAAAATCTATTTGTATTATTTGTCATTCCTACTAGCCATCCATACCACACTATCTTCTGTATCAGGTAGTGCAATAGAAATACACCTGTTTTGTTCTAAAATTGTCTGTGTCTCCTTTCTGTTCCTTGTTCAGGTTTTGCTCTCAAGGTAAGATAGTCAACTATAACTGATCCTTGTTGAGACGCTTCTGGGTTTCTGAAATTGTGTCCTACTTCCGGCTGTTATAGACTCAGTAAATGTGCAGAGACTTGCAGAAAACAGCTTCTTTTTAAGTGTGAGCAAAGTTTCTGAGGCTGAGGCAGGACACTGCTGTGAGTTGGGAGGCACCTAGAGCTATACAGTGAGTTTCAGATCAGTCTAGACTACAGTGTGAGACACTGTTTCAAAAAAAAAAAAAAAGTCCTCTGGATCCTACCACTGCTCCACCCAAAAGCCACCAATGACTCAAAGATTTTGTTTTGAGGGTTTCACTAATGTCAGTATCTAGAAAGCAAGTAAAGTTGGAAGAATTCCTGCAGTTTGAACCTGATGAATATTTCACATTGGTTTAATTTTTTGTTTTGGTTGTTTAGTTTTGAGACAAAGTCTCACTATGTAGCCCTGGCAGGCACAGAACTTGCTATGTAGGTAGGCTGGTCTGGAACTTACAGAGATCGACCTGCCTCTGCCTATCTCTGCCTCTGCCTCTGGGATTAAAAGCATGCACCACCATAGCCAGCTACATAAATTTAACTTTAAGGATTGTGTTCTCTTTTCCAAGTCTGGCTTAGCTACTGATAACCTATGAGAAAGGCTTTTATCTTGGTTCCTAACAGAACCAGGGGGACTCTTCTATGCTTTACCATCCAAGGTCAACTGAGAGTCCCTACTTTTTGAGGGACATTTAATTATGTTTCATTCTTCCTTTTTTAAACATATTTTTATTTTATGTGTATGAGTGTATTGCCTGCATGTATGTGAGTACACCCGTGTCATGCAATGCCCTCAGAGGTCAAAGAGGGCATCAGATCCCCTGGAACTGGAGTTAAGGATGGTTCTTAGCCACCATGTGGGTGCTGGGATTCATACCTGGGTCCTTCGAAGAGCAGTCAATGCTCTTAATTGCTGAGCCATCTCTCCAGTCCCTGTTCCATTGTTTTGACATAAACAGATTAAAATATTCTTGTCTCTGTTACCTTTATCGGGATGCTTCACATTCTATTCATTGATTTTTCTTATTATAGAAAGACTTAAAAAAAAGCTAAAGTTCTGGGTTGGGGGTCGGCAAGATGATTCAGCAGGTAAAGGTGCCTGCCACCAATACTGTGGACCTTAGTTTTGTCCACATGATGGAAGGAAAGAACCAACTCCCATAAGTTGTTCTCTGATACTTCCACATGTATGCTGTTCTGGGTTACTTGTATAAATGAGAGAAGCCAGCCATCTTGCCAGGTCCTACTGAACCTGTCCTGTTAGCAGAGCACTTGCCTCAGTTGTATTCATTTTATCACATACTGTAGAAATCAGCCTATGGTGTTCTAGAACAGAGGCTTCCCAGCCACATGGAAAGGGGTTTTCTGAGGGTGAGGCCTGTCTTACATTTAGGTTTACAGTGACTGTTGAACACTGTTTCTGGTTCATCTGAGCTTCTATTTGTCCCTCTGTTTGTGGTTTAATTCCAGTGCCTAGTCTTTGTTTTATAATACAGACCTTTGGCACTAGATTCATTTAGATTTATGAAATACTTGGCACATTCTCTCCAAATTCAGAAGACTTATTTATGCATCTGAACTCCAATTTATTAATTTATAGATGGGGGGTGTTTGAGAGAGAGAGAGTCTTGCTATGTAGCCCAGGCTAGCCTTCAGCTTGAGACCTGTCTGAGCCTCCCAAGTTTGTGTACCACCATGCCCTAATTTTAGAGTTCTATTTTCAACTGCCAAGTAAACCAGGTATCCATGAGTTCAACATCTTCTAGTTGTTGAACTACCTACCTGTGAAAAGGCAAAGAAAGGAAGGTTGGTAAATGCAGAGTAAAACTGGATTGTCCTATAGGCTGTTGAGATAAACTTTCCTCCTCTGAGAACACAGTGTATATAAAAACATACCCCTTCTGAGGATAGAAACCAGTTTCACACCTCGTCGTATCCAAGGTATCAAAAAACGTTCTGAGGCTGGGAGTGATGGTATATGCCTGTCATCCCAGCACTCAGGAGGAGGCAGGAGTAGCACTCTCAGTCTGCCAGTCCAGCCAAGATAAAATCAGCCAAAAAAAAAAAAAAGCCCCATTATGCATAAGGAGATATGATTCTCAGTATTCAGGGAAGTTCACATTCTGTAAAGTCACTGTGAACACTAAATTAGTGGATACTGTATTGTGACTAAATGCCGGTGCCAGCCAGCCAAAACGGACAGTACCTGAAAGGGGGAGTGAGGATTGAAAGAAAGGAAAGGAGACAGAAAAGACGTTTCTTGGGAGGGCTCACAGTGAATACTGCCAGCCCCTGTTTATTTTAGCTCTGTCTTTTTATACAGAAGAACTCAATTAGTTACAATTGCTGTATTTCCCCACCTGTATCTGAGGGTCAGGGAGTGGTCAGATCAAAGGCTTCTTGGATCCTTTTGTTTACCACTAATGCCTCAAGGTCAGGTATTGTGAGGCTCTCCAGAAAACTCCTTCCTCCTGAATGGGCAGGTTTAGTACTGGTTTGCATGACACAAACTCAGTAAACGAGGCTGCCAACAGCTCAATGATTAGCGGCTCCCGACA